AATTTTCCACTGTTTACATTTTACTCTCAGTTTTAATGAGTCTTTCTTTCTTTTTTTTTTTTTTGCTCTCACGTGACCCAATTTTGAAATTCTACGAAATTTACTATTTTGATGATATTTTTTTATTACTGGTTAACTATTATTTAGGATTTTTTTTTACTAATTTTCAGACTATTTTTTACTATGTTTTAGAAATGTTTTACTACTTTTTTTATTACTTTTCACTATTATGTTTATTAATTTTTACTATTTATTACTGCTTTTTATTCCCTATTTTCTACTATTTTTCAACTACTTCATTATTAATTGTTTATTACTTTTTACTATTTATTGATATTCTTTTACTATTTTCTACTACTTTTTACTATTTTAACTGATTTTTTACTATTTTTCACTACTCTTTTACTATTCTTTTAAAAATTGTTCACTACTTTCATAAACTCTATTTTTTAATGCTTTTACTATTTTCTACTACTTTTGACTATTTTTTTTGACTATTTTTTAATACTTTTCACTATTTTCTACCACTTCTTACTATTTTCTACTACTTTTTTAAATATTTTTTAACTCCATTTTCTACTACTTTTTAAAATATTTTTTAACTTCATTTTCTACAACTTTTTACTATTTTAACTTATTTTTTACTATTTTTCACTACTCTTTTACTACTTATTAATACTCTTTCAATATTTTTAGTACTCTATATAATTATTTTTTACTATTCTTTTAAAAATTGTTTACTACTTTCATAAACTCTATTTATTAATGCTTTTACTATTGTCTACTACTTTTGACTATTTTGTTTTACTATTTTTTAATACTTTTCACTATTTTCTACCACTTCTTACTATTTTCTACTACTTTTTAAAATATTTTTTAACTCCATTCTATTTTTTACTATTCTTTTAAAAATTGTTTTCTACTTTCATGAACTCTATTTTTTACTACTTTTTACTATTTTCTACCAATTCTTATTATTTTCTACTACTTTTGAATATTTTTTACTATTTTTTAATACTTTTTACTATTTTAACTAATTTTTTACAATTTTTTTCTACTCTTTTACTATTTTTTAATACTCTTTCACTAATTTCAGTACTTTTTATAAGTATTTGTTACTATTCTTTTAAAAATTGTTTACTACTTTTATGAACTCTATTTTTAATACTTTTTTACTATTTTCTACTACTTTCTACTACTTTCTACTATTTTTACTATTTTCCACTACTTTATACTATTTTTTAATACTCTCTCACTATTTTTAGTAGTTTTTCAAAGTATTTTCTACTATTCTTTTAAAAATTGTTTACTACTTTTTTAAAATTCCATTTTTTAATACTGTTTTCTACCACTTCTTACTATTTTCTACTACTTTTGACTATTTTCTTTCATTATTTTTAGAACTTTTTAAAAATATTTTTGACTCTTCTTTTAAAAATTGATTACCTTTTTTTTAAATTCTATTTTTACCACTTTTTACTATTTTTTACTAGAACTACTTTTTATTACTCTTAATATTTTTTCTACCTTTTTGTACTACTTTTGAACTATTTTTCACTAAACTCATATACAGAGAAATGACATAATTTGACAGGAAAAATAAATTTAATATTTTACTGCTTTCGTATCATTATGTCATTTTCCAATAATTGTTTTCTAATTCCGAACCGAAAAAACTTATTGTGCTTAGAGATGATTGATCTATTAATTATCATATTAATTTCAAATTACAAATTAATATTCAATTTAGTAAATTTCATACATATATATATACAACAGAGATTGCAAATTAAAATGATAATCTCGTGTTTATCATGCGTGTGTTTGTTTCGGAAACTGTTTCGGACAGCAAATATGTTTCTGAGCCCGAAATGAGCCGTAAAATCTATTTCGAAATTATGAGCGGCGATGCATGTGCTTCGGCATATACTCAAATTGTCCTCTCCCCTCTTCCCATTCTCTCTCCTCTCTCTCTTTCCGCTATATAATATAACTTGAACTTGGAGCAGTCAACGATCCTTGAACAGATTGGGTCGTTTTATGAAATATTGGTATAGTGCTTTAAAGAGATATGAACATTGTACAAACGCATATTCTCTTCAAAAGTTTTAGTTCTCTCTTTCTTTTTATTTCTCTTTCTCTATATATACATATATGTATGGACCATATCTCATCTCTAGCTTAAATTTCTAAGACTTTTTCTTAATTTTCTTTCTCTCTTAGCCTTTGGGGAATTTAATGTCACAGAGCATAAATAAACACATTTCTCTTTGCTGAATTTATTTAATCTTTTTCTTTGTTCTGTCTATATATATATGTATATAGAGACTTTGGTGACTGAATGGGAATGGACCAAAAAGACACACTAATTAGTCGAGAATTTAAAATTTATAAAATGACAGAGCATACTCGCTGTCGTGATATTCTCAAAAGAGAATTAATTTTACATCGTGAGAAAGTAGCTTTTAAAAATGTGCGCTTTTTTCATTAAAGAAAAACGTTTTTTTATTTTTGGAATGGCGAATATTTTTTTTTTTATAACGTCTGGAAAATTTTGATTTCTGTTGTCAAAGGTCAAAAACTAGGATTTTTGATTTATTTTTCAATATTATTAACCAGTTTCGTATATAATTTTCTATTTAAATATTTTCAAAAATTACTAGAAAATAATTTTGGAATTACCTCAATTTTTTTTAACCCTACTCTATATATTTAACATAAAATACATTTTTAAATATTAAAAATAATCAATAATTTTTATTTTAATCAATAATAAACTGTTAAAAATTCTAATGAATAGATAAAATTAAAGAAAATTGAATTAATTAAAGAAAAGTACTTCTAAATTCTAAAATAATTGATTAGAAAATTAGTACATAGAATTGTTTAAAAACCCATTTAAATTTTTCCCAATTTTTTAAATTAGAAAATGAATTGATTTTTCTGAAAATTTGTTGAAAAGCTGTCTGATAAATATTTAAAGTATTGTTTAAAAAAAGAAAAACTGAACGTGTTCAATGTTTTTCACTTTTCTTCTCTCTTTTATATATATATATAAAAACCTTCCAGAGTTTTATGCCCTGGAGAATTTTGCTCTTTGAAAGTTATCGGTCCGCTAGACATTGGTCATGTGTATTTATTCGAGTACTAGTCCAGAGGGTAAAGATACGAGAGAGGGTAAAAATCTGTTCCTCTGAGTCCCTAGAAACATCACTCCGAATGAATATGGAAAAAAAAGAAAAGAGATTATCTTCCGTCTTTATAAAATATAATATTTGATTTGCATTACTTTCTTATGCATGTCACGTATAATTTTTTTTTTCTGTACAGAAATACAAATTCCTTTTTCTATATACACTGAGCATCTCATATTTATGTGAATTGTATATTGAATATCTTTTCAAACACACGTTTCGAAAAGTTGAAATGAAAATTTTTTTATATTGAAAGGATAAATATTTTCTTTTTGAATAATCAAAGTTGTTTGCATTTTGCTACAATTTTTATTTTGAAAATTTCATCATTCATCAGTTCTGAATTTTTATTTTACGTAGTTCTTTTGTATTTCTATATATGTACTTTTTTTGTATTCTTCTTTTATTTTTTGTATTTGGTTAATTTATTTATCTTCACTACTTTTTTTGTACTTTTCTGTTCTCCCTTTATTTTTTCTGTACTTTTCTTGAGTTTTTATATTTTATGCTTTTGTTTTATTTTGTCTCTTTTATTTTTTGTATTTTTCTTTTATTTTTTTGTATTTTTTCTTTTCTTCTGTTTTTTGTACTTTTCTTGAATTTGCTTTGTTTACTGTTTGTACTTTTCTTGTTTTAATTATTTTTTAACTTTTCTTGCGTTTTTCTTATATTTTTCGCATTTGTTTTATTTTCTGTCTTTTATTTTTTGTATGTTTCTTTTATTTTTTTGTATTTCTATCTTCTTCTATTTTTTGTACTTTTCTTGTATTTGCTTTGTTTTATTTTTTGTCTTTTATTTTTTATATTTTTCTTTTCATTATTTACTTTTTTGATGCTTTTCTTGTATTCCTCTTTTATTTTTTTACACTCTTCTTGTTTTCTTCTTTTATTTTTAGTATTTGGTTTATTTGTTAGTCTTCACTACTTTTTTTTGTACTTTTCTGTTCCCCCTTTTTTGTACTTTTCTTGTGTTCTTATATTTTTTGTATTTGTTTCATTTTCTGTCTTTTATTTTTTGTACTTTTTTTATTTTCTTTGTATTTTTTCTTCTTCTGTTTTATGTACTTTTCTTGTATTTGCTTAGTTTATTGTTTGTACTTTTCTTGTTTTATTTACTTTTTACTTTTCTTGCGTTTTTCTTATATTTTTCGCATTTGTTTTATTATTTGTCTTTTATTTTTGTATTTTTTTTTACTTTATTTGTAATTCTTTCTTCTGCTATTTTTTGTACTTTTCTTGTATTTGCTTTGTTTTATTTTTTGTTTTTGGTTTATTTATTTATCTTCACTACTTTTTTTGTACTTTTCTGTTCTCCCTTTATTTTTTGTACTTTTCTTGTATTTGCTTTGTTTATTGTTTGTACTTTTCTTGTTTTATTTATTTTTTACTTTTCTTGCGTTTTTCTTATATTTTTTGCATTTGTTTTATTTTCTGTCTTTTATTTTTTCTATTTTTCTTTTACTTTCTTTGTATTTTTCGTATTTGGTTTTATTTGTTTTTATTTTTTCTTTTATTTGTTTGTATGTATTTTCCATGTTTCCTTTATTTTCCTGTAGATTTTTCTTTCACGTTAAAATTCATTTTTCCATTTATTAAATTTTTCTGACTTTTAAATTACGAAAACAATAAATTAAAAGAATTTATGAAATGTTCAAAATTAATTTTCACTTTTTTATTTATATCAAGTAAAAAATAGATTTAATTTCGAATAGCACGATGTATTTACATTATCATGAAGTGGTAATAGAGTCGTTTTTAAAAATAAAAGAGAAAAAAAAGTTGTTACTATAAAGTGAGTAAATAAGACAAGTTTGAAATTATCGCGGACAATGTCATCGTCGTCGTCGTACTCGTACCAATTTGGTATTCTTGGGACGAACATGTAAGGTCGTGGTTTTGCACTGTGGCGTTCCTTTCTAAACTGGAATCTCATTTAGTTCTAACGCGTCCATTTCTCACACCAGAATAACATAGTATCGTCTCGAAAGCTCGAGAAAGAATTCCACAATGCCCTGAAAGAAATTCCATTTTCAGAAAATGTCCTTTTTCCTCCACTCAATCTGATTGGGCTTCATGTAAAAGTGATGATGCCTTGACCAAAAATAAGAAATTTTTTTTTGTCGACCAAACTATTTATTATACGAACATCTTCTATATACGTTCCATAAACGCAAAAAAAAAATTTTTTTTCTCTCTCTCTCTCTCTCTCTCTCTATAGATAAATATTTTTATATAATTTTTTTTTTTAAATTTTCAAATGAATATTGAAAAGGCGAAATATATATATCTGCACCGTTTACCTTCGTGGAGTGAATTTTCTATATCCGTACATATGTTTGTGAATGAACACGTGCGCATGAACTCTCCTCTAAGTTTGTACAGCTTTGACAACAAATTGTCGTGCTGACAAGTTGTCACGATACTTTAACGAGCTGAGCGATTACCTGGAAAAAGTGATAGTATCATATTAATTAGGACATTGATGGATACGTAACATTTTACAAAATTTATTTTTATGTGTCTTAAGAAGGTGGAATTTACTCTTTAGTTCGTTTTAAAACAAATATTTTTTGTTGGAGAAAATTTGTTCGAAAATTTCTCCCAAAAAGCAAATGAAAATTTTTTTTAATTGATCTAATTAAATTAATTTTAAAATAAAATAATATAACAATGATGCCTCCTAGGGTCGATTAGGTAATTTCATTTTTATTTCAACTTTCAGTTTCACTTTTACTTTCACTTTGAGCGATTCTTCATTTACCTTTGTTTTTACTTTGATAGTTTTTTGTATTTTTTTTACTTTCATTTTCAGATTGATAAATATTTATTTTCACTTTCACTTTGATACAAAGTGAAAATAAAAGTGCAAATGAAAGTGAAAAAATCATTTAAAATGAAAATAATATAAAGATAAGAATTTTAAAGTAAATGTGAGAGTGAAATTGCAAATAAAAATCGAACAAAATGAAATAATAATTATAAAATAATTTAATAAACAAGTATTATTAAAAATTTAAAATAAGTTTCATTTAAAACTAAAAAAAGTTTTTAATTTCAAATTATAAACAATTGTTCAAGCTCTAAAAATTTAATTCAAAATAATTTAAAATTTACCTAAAAATTTTTTAATTTGAAAACAAAATGTTCATTTCAAATTTGTAAAGTTGTATTCAATAATTAAGAGTTTAAATCAAATTAAAAATATTTAATTAAAAATTACAAAGTTTTAAATTATTTTAATTTAAAAATCTTCATAAAAATATTAATGTTTAATTTATTAAGATTTTAAATATTTTTAATAAAGTGTTTTAAAGTAAAATAGTTTAAAACTTAAGTAATTTTTTATTAATTATTTTAAATTTGTATAAACTTTTGATTTTTGAAATGTGAAATGAATATTTTATTTTCAGATTTAAAAAATTTTGAAATAAATTTTGAAATATTTTTAATTTAATTTGATAATTTTTAACAAAACTTCATAATTTTCAATTAGATTTTTCACATTTTGAATAAAAAATTGTAATTCTGAAACTTTTTACTTTTACTTTTGAATAAAACTTTACAATTTCAAATAAAACTTTTTAATTTTTGAATGAAACTTTAGAATGTTTAATAACATTTTTAAATTTTGAATTTAAGTTTTAAATTATTCTGAATTAAGTTTGTTAATTTAGAACATAACTTAAAATAATTTTGAATAAAACTTTACAATTTTAAATTAAATGTTTTATTTATAAACAAAATTATAATTCTGAATTAAATTAAAAAAATTTTCTGTAATATTTTAAATATTTTGAATAACATTTTTAATTTTTGATTGAAAACTTTTTATTTCAGAATAAATCTTCAAAAGTTTGATATAAATTTTTCATTTTCAAACTGAATTATAATTTTTAATAACATTTTTAAATTTAAATTTAAGTTTTAATTATTTTGAATTCAGATTGTTGATTTTGAACATAACTTAATATAATTTTGAATAAAATTTTGTGAAAATTGAACAAAGTTTAATAAAATTTTGAGTTAAATATTAAATTCCAAAATATTTTGAATAAAACTTTACGGTTATAAATTTAATATTTTATTTATAGACGAAATTATAATATTGAATTAAATGAAAAAAATTTAGAGTAATGTTTTTAAATATTTTGAAAAACATTTTTAATTTTTAATTGAAAACTTTTTATTTTTGAATAAATCATCCAAAGTTTGACATAAATTTTTCATTTTCAAACTGAATTATAATTTACAGTTAAATTTAAAAAATGTTGTATTAAGGGCATTATAAATTTTCTGATATTACGAATCAAATTTTAATTTTACGAATCAAATTGAAAAATTTTGAATGAAATTTTTAAACTTTGAATAAAATTTTTTAACATTAAATGAAATTTAAAAAATTTCCAATTGAAATATCAAATTAAATTTTGAAATGAAAATTTCAAATTAAAAATATAAAAATACGAAATAATGGAAACCATTATTGTCGCGCGCTGTACATTCTCGTTTATTGAGTGGTGATTGTGTGCACACGTATGACTCAAGAGTCTTTCTCTCGGTAAAAAGAGGAAACCTACACACACACGAAATGGAGAGCAAGATGCGGCGATGCACACAGGGATCACCTCATTATGTACGTGACTCCCACATCGTTATGCAATAGCGAGAGATAGTGGTTCTCAAACTAGGGTGATAGTTCATTTGATATCTTCATTATTTCATCTTTTAATTAAATTCCATTTAATATAGTCACAGAAATTCAATTTCCAATAATCAAATTTAATTTCCATAAAATTTCATCATTAATTTGAGTAATTAAAAAAAAAATGTCACATCACTTGTGCGTCTATAATTTGTAGTGCATACGATAATAAAAGCATACTTGTCAGTCATTGTATAGAGCAAACGAGGGAGAATTAAAATCCATTTATAGCTTTTATGTAAAATAATGTGTGTCGTATTGAGTGGAAAATACAATTTTAATGAATCATGTATTCCATTTTTTTTCTCTTTTTTTTGTGTGTGTGGAAAACAAGAATAATAACAATAATCAGTTAAAAAAGAACATTTTTGCTGAATCAAGGTTCCTCTCTTTTGGCTCACGGTTAAAATTACAAGTTATTTTTTCTTTGTACGCCGGATGAAATGAAAAGCACACAGAAAAATGCTGAGGTGGTAAAAACGACTTGCGCTATATCACACCTCGCATATTGTCACTTTTTTTCATTTTTTTTTTATTCATCTTTTGCTTTATAATGAGATCTTTTCCATAGTGGAACAGAAATTATTTACCTTTCTGAAGAAATATTTTCTTAATTCTCAGTTCCTCTTTTTTTCAATTATAAAGAGAGAAGAAGTTAACGTCTTGCAATATGAAATTGAAAACAGTTTGCTTTTGAAAAATTTTACACTGCAAAACATTATTTATTCTTGGTGAATTTTTTTTTTAAACTTTATTTAAAAGGGGTTTCTTTCTACTTTTTAGAGAAATAAGAATTTTCCACTTGTTTGAAAAAGGGTAGTTCTTGAAAATTTTTTATTTCTTTACTTTTCCTGATATAGAAAATTAATTGGAAAAACGAGAAAAATGAAGTAAAAGTTTTTACTATTTACAAAATTATATCTAAAACTATTTCTATTTTTTTTTTTACTATTTCCGGAGCAATTTTTACAAAATTCGAAGGCAAATTTAGCAAAAGGGGAAAAAAGGTTCCTTATTTTTTTTCCTGGTAGTAAATAAATAAACAATAAAAAACAAATAAATATAAATGTAAAAAAAAATAAAAAATTAAAGAAGAAAATAATAAAATAATTCATAAAATAAATAAGTTATAAAAAAAGTTCCGAATCGTTTCCGTATATTTGGAAATAAATTAACATCTCTATAAAAAATAAATTACAGTTTATAGAAATTTTTCTCCTGTAAAAAAGTGTTGAGAGTAAAATTTCGGAATGTGAACCTTTCGCAATGATATAGATATAGAATCTAAATTACATTTATTGCGTATTTGAACTTAATAATTGGCATTGCAAGAGAAAATGATTTATGGTTTCCTTCGACAATTACCAAGAATTTTAATTATTATTAAATTCTCTTTGTGAGTATAGTAATTTATCAAAACAATGACAGTGGTTCAATATAGACAATAGTGTGCAAAATTTGTACATATCGAAATTAATTTTGCAAGTAGATTATTTTTTTGAAAAATAATAACCTTTTAGAGATAGAAAAGGAAAGTTTTTAAATTATAATTTTTATATAGAAATTTGTAAATGAAAATTTTAGATATATGGAACTTTTTAATTGTAAGATTTTGAATAGATTTTATAAATGAAAATTTCTAAACGGAGTTTTTGTATTGCAACTTTTAAATATATATATATATTTAAATCGAATTTTCTAAATAAAAATTCTGGAAATAAATTTTTTAAATAACAATTTTTAAATATAATTTTTTAAATGGAAAGTTTTAAAAGAAATTTTTTTTATGAAACATTTAAAACAGAAATTTTTTAATAAATTTTCTAACTGGAAACGTCTAAATGAAATTTTCCACTTAAATGGGAATTTTTAAATAGAATTTAAATCGTTTCTAAATATAGAAATTTTTAATTGATTTTAGAAGATTTAAGAAGGAATTTTCATGATATTTCTGCATAGATTTAAAACAAAGTTTTTAAACTAAATTTTTTTAATTAACAATCTCTAAATGGTATTTTCTAAATGAAAATTTCTAAACTGAATTTTCAAAATGGAAAGTTTTAAAATGAATATTTTGTTATGAAATATTTTAAATAAAAATTTTAAAATGGAATTTCCAATTGAAAAGTTTTAAATAAAATTTTCTTCACAAATGAAATTTTGTAATTGAAAATTATAGAAATTTTTTTCTTAAACTTTTAATTAGAAATTATAAAATTAAAATTTTTAAATGAAGTAATGTTTTAAGTAAAAATCATGGAAATTTCAATTTGAAAACTTCTAAAAAGCAAATTTTAAATTGTATTTTAGAATTTCAAATTAAATAATTTATAAATAGAATATTTTAAATGAATATTTTTCAAATTTCACTTTTTTAGATAGAATTTTTTAGAAAATAATATTTAAATGCAGTTTTTTATAAAAGAAATGTTTAAAATTTTTAAAATTTAAAAATTTTTTGTTAAAATTATTTAAACTCATATTTTTAAATAGAATTTTCTATTTTTAAATTTCTAATTGGAAATTTTTAATTACATTTTTTAAAAAAAATGAATTTTTGATATAAAAACTTTGAAATTGAAATATTTTAATTGAATTTCTTAAATAGAAATTTTTAAATTAAATTTTTAAAACTCATATTTTTAAATAGAATTTTCTTATTACGAGTTGATAAATGATATTTTCAATTTCCAAATGTCTAAATTGAAATTTTTATGTGAATTTAAAAAATTGAAAATTGATTTTTAGTTTAAAAACATCGAATTGAAAATTTCAAAATAAAAATTTTGAAATTGTACTCTTCGAGTGAAAATTTTAAAATAAAAATTTTAAAATGGAATTTGAATGAAGTTTTTCATAAAGAAATGTTTAAAAGGAATTTTTTAATTGAAAATTTTTAAATAGAATTTTATAAATGGAAATTTTCAAATGGAATTTTTTAAACTCATATTTTTAAATATAATTTTCTATTTCTAATTTCTAAGTGGAAATTTTGAATTAAATTTTTTCAAATTGTTTAAAAAATGAATTTTCGATATAGAAACTTTGAAATGGAAACTTTTTAATTGAATTTCTTGAATAGAAATTTTTAAATGGAATTTTTTTAACTTAATATTTTCAAACAGAATTTTCTAATTAGGAACTGTTAACTAATATTTTTTTTAATTTCCAAATGTCGAAATTAAAATGATGTGAATTTAAAAAATAAAAAAATAAAAAAATTTTTATTTTTAAAAACTTCGAAATGAAAATAAAATTAAAATTTTCAAACAGTACTTTTCGAGTGAAAATTTGTAAATAAAAATTTTATAAATACAATCATTTCTAATCAGAATTTTTTCTAAAGGAAGAAATAAATTCTTTTTTCTCAAAGAAATTTTTTTTTTTTTTTGACGGATGATATGGCGCATTTAAAAGAGGGAGATGTCAAAGTAAACGGAAAAAAATGTGAATTTTATAACCACTGAGGTAATTCCATCAAAAGTGCGAGAAGTTTGCGGAAGTAGCTTATAAACATTGCTATGTAATTTATGTTTAAGACCTTCGCGTGATTCGACTTGCAGTTAAACTTTTACACGCCTCATACTGTGATTGGTCAAAGGTTTTTAAAAGCAGTTGGCGTGATTCCGAGAATCTTTTCTCCAACTGGCTTCGAAAAAGCTTAGTCGTTTATTTTTCTCTTGCTTCTATTTTTCTTTTCATTTCCCGTTGAGAGTTTTTATTGCTTCCAAGTTTTGTCCAGTACAGTTGGAGTTTGAGCATTAAGGGTGTGACATTTTTTTTTCCCTTTTCTTTTCGCCCCCCGGGCAATGAATGAATGATTTTCTCCATTGCACTTGTATTTTCTCTATTGATGCATTTTTTTGAATAAAAAAAAAAATTTATTTTTAAAAATAAAGCTCATTTTTGAAATTATATTTTTTATTTTTAAAAATGAAGTTAATTTTTAAAATTATATTTTTTATTGTTAAAAATGAAATTATTGTTCAAAATTAATTTTTTATTTTTAAAAATAAAATTAGTGTTCGAAACTAATTTTTTATTTTTAAAAATAAAATTAGTGTTTAAAACTAATTTTTTATTTTTAAAAATAAAATTAGTGTTCGAAACTAATTTTTTATTTTTAAAAATAAAATTAGTGTTCAAAAATAAAATGAATTTTTCAAATTATAATTTTTTTAGTTTTAAAAATAAAATTAGTGTTAAAAAATAAAATTCATTTTTCGAATTACAATTTTTCTATTTTTAAAAACAGAATTTTGCAGGTGGTTTCGATTATAGAGAAATTTAAAATTTAGACGATTGTAATCTTGAGAGTTGTGTATCTCAATTATGTTTATGATTGATCAATTACATACCAATTGAGAGAATTGCAGAGATATAAAAAGACCTTGTGTATATATATTGTATTTATTCCATTGATTCTGTGAACTTTTTTTTTTCTCGAATCGAAGTTTATTTATTGGTTTATCATTAGTAATGGAGTTAATAGGAAATTAAAGTTGTCTATTGAAGCGGTAAAAGGCATTAATCTTCTAAGGAGGCTCGTATATAGCGTTGAATCGTCCTTGATGGCTTCTTGACCGCGTCTCACAACTGCAGATGAAGGTATTAACCATATAATCCAAACAAAAGTTTGATGAATGGCACTTTTGAATAATGACTTGTTTGTCATTTTTATTATTCCCAATATAGACAGTGAAAACGTATGGATATTAATTGCAACTTTCCAATTTTTTATCATTAATGATTATTTTCTGCATCGAAATTATTAATTTATTATTCAAACTTCTGTATAATTAACAAATGGATTTTTTTAAACTGATTTCCGCCTTTTTTGGGGGGTAAAATATTTTTAAGAATTATTTAAAAAATGAATTAAAATAAAATAAATTAAAAAACTAATGAAAATTAATTTAAATATGAATTGAAATTAATTTAAAAAATTAATTAATTTAATAAAATGATAAAAAAATAAAAAAAAATATTTTCATTACCTAACTAATTAAAAAAATTAATTAATTAGTTAATGAAAATATTTAAAAGCCAACTTTCTGAATAAAATTCAGATTTATATTTTAGAACTTCTAAGAAGTTGACTAAAAATAGATTTGAATAGTTAAAATTATTTTTTTTACTTAATGTAGATTTTTGATGAGAAAAAAAATCGAAAAGTCGTAATTTTGTATTTGTATTGATGATAGAAAAAAATGTTTGTATTTATTAACGAAGATACGAGAGCGAGTCAATTAATTGGTTCCAGTTTCATTTTCAGCAGAAACACATGTGACTAGTTATTGATTATCAAATTTAACGTCTCTAAAAATATTGTAGTAGTGTATATGAAAATAGATATTACTGAAAAATACAAAATGGAAATAAAATAAAAAAAATTTTTTTTTTTCACGGAAAATTTCAATATACTCTGGTAATTAAAAATAATTTGAAAAGCGCGAGACAGGTGAAATAGAAGAATTAAATAAAAAATATTCTTTTTCATATAAACTACAAAATTTATAAATTTTTACGATATTTGAAACTTTATTCGAATAAAAAAGTTCAATTTAGTAAAAAAATTTTAGAAATGCAGAATATAGTAGGGGAACATAGTCTAGGTCGGCCACCTTTTTGACTTTTGTTTATAACTTTTTTTTAAAAATGAATTTGGACAATTGAAGTATATGGTTGGAAAGTCCTGTTTAATAGGAACATTTTTTCTGTACAAAGTAAATTGACAGGTTTAAAAATGAAAAAGTTATAAAGATTTAAAAAAAAAAAAAATTGTAGTCCAGGTTGGCCATTACAGTCAAGGTCGGCCATGTTTAAAATTCAAAGGGCATTAATCGTTAAAAAATAAAATAACATGTTTGGAGTTACGGAAAATTGATTCTTTATTGTTTACAGTTTGTAACTTAATGAAATAACAAAATAATAACAATAAACAATATAAAAAAATAAATATAAATAAAAAAAAGTTTTGCACTAAAATATTAATAAAATTAAATAAAAATATTAATAAGATGATCAATTATATTATGAGTTATACAGAATTGCAGTTTTTGCAAATGAAGTAGCTCGTCCTCATCTTTGCGCATTTTAAACACATAGTGGCCGACCTTGACAGTAAGTAACATTACCGAATTGTTGTAACCATAAAGAAATACGTTTCGGGATTCGATTTTTTACTTTGTTTTCCTTTCAACCATGAGTCCCACAAATTTTCTGCATACTTGCCTTGACGATTCAATTTGTTTTTTATCTTTTATTAATGGTTTTTCACATTATGCACAAAACTTTTTTTGAGCTTTTTTTGTACCGACGTCACAGAAAACACAATTTTCGATTTTCCGAAAATGTAATTGAACAAAAAGTTAGGTTTCACTAAGACAAGCTTCGACAAAAATGCGCGTAGGTGGCGCTAGTGAACTTGACAAAAAAACGCGAGTGGCCTACCTAGACAGTAGGCCAACCTTGACTACATTCCCCTATATTCAATATTTTATGAGACAATTTAATAATTAATTTTAATAATATTATAAAAATCATATATTCTGACATAGGGAATTCATAGGGAAAAGTCCGAAATTTTTATTAAAAGTACTGAGAAAAATATTAAATTTGTAGAATTCATAGGAAAATTCAGAATTTTTTTGTCTTTTTTGTTTGACTCGTAAACTATAAAATTACCACGAATTCTAATACAAAACCTTGAATTTTTTCAATTTCTAACAAAAATTTATTTTTAAATAACTTAAATCTTGAACAACTATCATAAAATAAATAAATTATTTAATAAATAATTGTACTTAAATATTTCAAAATTAATTAAATTTTAAAAGAATTGCGTTTACAATTTTCATAAATAAATGAACTTCAAACGATTTCAATTTGAAATTTTATAAAATTTCAATGTTGAATGAATTTAATTAGAAAAAACTTGAATTTTTGAAAAATTTTAATAATTCAAAGTCTTATAAAATTAGTTAAATTTGCCAATATGTATTAAATTAATTATTAAAAATAAAAAATAAAAATAAAAAAATACTAAAAATTTATAGAAGAATTTTAATTAAAAACACTAAAAAAATTGAATTTTGAAAAAGTTACAAATTATTGCAAAAATTCAATTATTTTCAAAAATAATAAAATTCTTAACACAAAATTCAATTATTTTCAAAATCCCGAAATCCCAATTATTATTTGTATAAATAAAAAAATTCTTTTTCAAAATTCAATTATTTTCAAAAATTTTAATAAAATTCTTGTCAAAATTTCAATTATTTTCAATATTTACTATTTTAATAAAATTAACCAAAAGAATCCAATTATTTAAAAATAATTTTAATAAAATTGTACGCTAACGTTTAATTATTTTCATAAATAATACAAATTTCACAAGAATTTAAATATTTACAAATTTTTTAAAAGTTTCCTCTCAATAATTTAATTATTTTTAGAAATAATAAAACTCATCGCAAGAATTTCAATTATTTTTAATACAATTTTAATCGAATTCTTTGAAAAATGTAACTATTTTAAAAAATTTTCATTAAAATTCGTTAAAAGAATTCAATTATTTAAAATTTTTTTATGAAATTCTGTGGAATAATTTAATTAATTTCGTAAATATTAAAATTCTTTTCAGATATTCAATGATTTTGATAAATAATAAACTTCTTTTTAGGAATTCAATTATTTTCAGAAATAATAAAAGTCGTCGCAGAATTGCAATTATTTTTAATACAATTTTAATTGAATTCTTTGAAAAATGTAACTGTTTTAAAAAATTTTATTGGAATTCGTCAAAAAATTCAATTATTTAAAAATTTGTTAATAAAATTCTTTTTTAGAATTAAACTTAAAGAAACATTCAATTATTTAATAAATAATTTACTTTTATATTTAAATAATTGAATTCTCGTAGAATTTTCTAATAAAGATTGATTTGAAAATGAACTTTATTTTAAATTTTAGATAATTAAATATGAAAATAATTTTGAAGAAGTTACCGTAACAATATTCTTATAATATAAAATAATGATTTTAACACTCGATCCTCTTTAATAATTAATTATTATAAAACATAAAGAAATCGATCACTCCGAGTCTTCGACTTGAAGTAATCGTTATCTTTATGTTTTATAACAATATTTTTAGAGTTTATTAATTTTCAAGAAGGTTTGAATTTGAATGTTTTGAAGAATTTTAATTCCTACGAAAAAATAATAATAATTGAATATTTAAAATATTTAAAAAAGAAATTATTGTTTTCGAATAATTTTTCAAATTAAAGATATTCGTAAATAAATTTAACAGAACATTTTTTTCAATAAAATTTCTTCCTCTATTTTCTAAAAATTCAAAAATTTTCACTTTCATTTTCAATTAAATTTTCTAATTGACAAATATAATTTATAAACATTCTTTTCCTTTATTTTTAAAAAACTTTGAATTTTATTAAAACAATTGAAATTAAGAAATAGAATTGATGCAAATTATTTCTTTATGAAAATTGAGAATTTTTTACAAAAATATTAAGAAACGGGAATAACTAATGTTTTTCTTCACAAAAGAAAAAAATGAGTTTGTAAACAATATTGTTATTGAGAAATAAAAATTATACATAAAATGGGTATATTTCCTACTTCTTAAACAAAATTTTTTAACAATTAACAATTTTCTAGTATTTTTTATAAATAAAAAGGAGAATAATTTACATAATAATTTAGTTCAATCAAACGAAATTTGTTATAGAAAAAAGCATATAACAAACAAAATGGGTATATTTTTTATTTGTTAATCATAATTTTTTTTTAATTTTCTTATTTCTAATATTATTTTATTATAATTCATGAAAAAATACCTTAATTTCGATTTGTCAGACAAAATATTTTTTAAAGAAAGAAAAACAAAAGCATACAGAAAACTAACTTCAAAACTGCGGACAGATCGAAGAAAAGAATATGAAGATTAATATAGTTAATAATAATAATAATAATTAGTAAAATTTTTCTTTTAAATTTAATTACTGTTATTACAGACATAAAAAGTTAATATAATTACACCAAAAAAAATAAAATAGAACAATAATCAAGAATCTGAGAGAGAAAGAAGAATAGAATTCAGAAACTTTGACAAAGCTCATGAAACATAAATTCGCTGTGTGTTTACATTTGAAGTTAATTAATTTGCAAATTATGAATGATCTATTGGGCCAAGTTTCGATTAATGAAACCAATAATTGCATATATTGTGAAAAAGAAGGACTACTATTACTGCCGAGGGGCGTTCTTCCTAATTCATTTGACTTGAGGGAGTGTCTGAGGGGTTACAGCAAATAACACATTTCCGGTAGTTCCCAGGGGATTGATCATGAGCGAAGAGTGCCCGGAGGATATCCTTCTATATACGTATTCACA